TTTACTGCCCATAACTCACTCTCTGTTCTACCCAAGGTTAGCTGGTAGAGAATGCCATATAGCATTAAGCTCGTCTTTTGTACAAAATCTTTGGTGCAATAAAGAATAAAATAAATAAATAAATAATAATACAATAAGGATAAAATAAATTATATCAATAGGACGAGAGCAATCAGTTAAGAAACTTGAATGTCCCACCCACATGCATTAGGATCCATTGCCTCTGAATGAATAGGTCAACCCTATCTTGAAATATCTTCAAGACAATATTTGAGCTCTTCCGTAGTCTACATAACATTGACGCAGTTCGCTTCTTTATGATCATCAACATCTGTTTCAGCAAACATGCTTTTAGCACTACAGTGTCCACGAAAACCTATTAGTATCCTGAAGGCATTTTTATATTGAATTCGAAGCGCGTTGTCGGTCCTCTGCATGTAGTCACACTGCAGTCAAGCTGCAGGTGTAAAATGTTTGACAGTACGCCTTGAAGAGGATAATTTTGACATCATTTGTTCACCTAACAAACTAGCGGACAAGCATATTTCTAACCGCCAACGCGCGTCGTTCTGTCTCAATATCAATGTTGTCTGTCAGATATTCGTTAACAATGTGTCCCAAATATTTAAACTGATAAACTTCTTCTTACTGTTAACACGAAACCCCACCAACTCTCTTTTCTTGGTGTTAAAGAGGAGTCTATGTTCACAAGCCTATGTTTCCCACACAGATAACAGTCTACGCAACGCACTCACCGATGGACTCAGCAGCACCATGTCATATGCATAACATCAAAATCAAAAATCGTTATTTTCGTTCCAGTAATACTTAAAATGAAATACATAGTCGGAATACTCCTTTTAAGTTAGAAAACTTGTGTTAGGAGGCTCCGCTCTTTCCGTTTTTCATTTTTATAAATTAGTGTTTAAAACTAGTGTACCTAACGCATAGATTTTTGACGTATAGTATAACTTATATTAAAACTTATAATATTTTTAAAATAAAATATAAAATATCTGTAGGTGTAAGTTATGTAATTGTATAGAGTACGTGTAAGTGGTGTGGTGTGGTATATTTAGTAAATTATTAATTATACATATCAAGTTAAATCTTAGTGCCCCCGCCAAGTCGAGCAAAAAAGCGGCACGGCCGTACCATCTTTTCTCGAAGCAATTCAGGCCATTTTCGACCCCCTATAACTTCGTAGTCAATTAATCTAGAAGCCTGAATTTTCAGTTACCGAGTAAGCATTGTATAAATATGGTATATTTCAATTTGAGCCAGTAGTTTAAGAATTGTAACTAGTCAAAGTTTCTTAATTTTGTCACTCACTGACTGACCGATCATCAAAACTTTAAGGCACTTCTAGCAGACATAGAAGCTTCAAATTTAGAATACTATTAGTATGTAGTGTATAAATCAAGAAAATACTAAAATATTTTTCAATTTCGGTCGAGTTTTCTAGATATACCAACTGCATTAATAACTTTGTAATCCCATATAAATATATAGGATTACAAAGTTAAATTTGCAGTGAATGAATCAGTGTACTTGTATAATATGTATTACAGGTAAAAAATTAGGACTATCTTATATAAAAAAAGAAATGAGATGCCATTAAAAACATAACTTGTAAAAAAAACCAAGTCTTGCAACTCAGTTCTACCGCAAAAAGTTGTGAGATCCATGTAATACCAAGTCGGTTAATTTATTCAGTTCCTACTTAAGACTCCTTATGTTTTAAGTTATTACATATTTAGCTAACCTAACAACATTTTATAGTGACCATATCAATTTTAAAAGTCTTTTATGTTTTAAATATATAGATTGACTTGGCAATCGCACTAAGCAATCTAATTTAATACAATATGTATTTCTTGTGAGATACATTGTGGTTTCATGCGATGGCCAAGTCAATCTATATATTTAAAACATAAAAGACTTTTAACATTGATATGGTCACTATAAAATGTTGTTAGGTTAGCTAATTACGTAATAACTTAAAACATAAGGAGTCTTAAGTAGGAACTGAATAAATTAACCGACTTGGTATTACATGGATCTCACAACTTTTTGCGGTAGAAGAACTGAGTTGCGAGACTTGGTTTTTTTTTACAAGTTATGTTTTTAATGGCATAATTATTTCTAAAAGTGTTTCGGTTTCGTTGTAATTTAAAGTTTTCAGCCATTCTGTTGTTTTCTTTTTGACTTCTATGCTATGCAATGAATATATGCTTAAGATTTTATTTATTTTATTTTATATGTATACTGCCCTCTTCTCATATTGTACTGAAGCAAATGTCGTTTTACAATAATCGGTATATAAAACTGTCTTTTCTTATTTTGTTCATACGTAGTAGATTTATGAATTTTAAGCAATAAGAACAAAATATATAATTTTCGAACTGACAAGACACCAGACAAATTATAAAGGTCAGTAGTGGGGAATCGGTATGGTTTAAAATAGCAGACTTTAAACAGGGCTCTTTGAGCTCGCTCTACTTCAAGGAATCTTGTTTTTAAAGCCCCTTCCCATACTGGTATACAATAATGAGAACAGATTGAGCCAGTGCTGTATATACTCGTACTTTGTTCAGTAATTGGGGGTTTGTTACATATCTTAACTTTTTGAAAATCCACATTAAGTTTCTTATGCGGCCAGTTATTCATTTAATATGGTTATACTAAAACAGTCTCTGATCAATAACGACACTAGGTTGTTATTTAACCAGGCTGCTATAGTTTTAAGTTCCGATTCTGCACGTGTTTTCACTTCCTCCCAAGTATCTCCCGAAAAAGCAACAAATGTATCGTCAGCATAGGAGATGTGACCGTGAGGAATAAAAAGCTTGCACAGCTCATTAATATAGACCAAGAACAGCTCAGGCCCTAAGACGCTACCTTTAGGAACGCCGAAAATAACATTTTCTTCGTCACTCAACACAGAGTCTACATGAACACGCTGAGTGCGCTCATGTACTCGTAGGTAGCTAAGCATCAGGTTTAGAGAAGTATCCCTAGAAAAAAATTGGTTGTCTCTAAAGTCGGTTTACGGACGATAGTTTAACGTGACAACGTCATAACAATACATTGATGAAATGATCGCATACTTTTATGAATAAAATTGAATTATTTTTATTGAATTATCACTATTTTGTATGGATACAAAGGAGTGAAATGAAATGTACATTGGCTTTATGTATATTCGTAAGATAACGCGCTAGACCATCGGACCTGTTAACTTGATGACCGTACCAATATTTGAGTGGTGATAAGTTCAGCTGGAACGGATATTTCACGCAGTTTTGTCCATAGTATGTCATAACTAACCAGGCCAAATGCCTTGGGGAGATCCAGAAATTACCATACACTGGCGTTTGTCTCTGGGTGAAATATTTCAGCTTCAGCGACATCATAGGACTTTCTGTCGACAGGCCTGATCTAAAACCAATTTGAGCATAGTTTAGCTGTATATAGTTAATAAGTCGTCGCTCCAGCAAACCGTCAAGCACCTTTGCCAATACAGTTGCCAAGGATATAGGACTTCAATTAGCGTTGTAAGAATATCTGATATATCTCTAGTCTTGTTTTTCACTATAGGAACAACAATAGTTCTCATTAGCCGTAGATCTATGCGGTAATCCTATTGGGCCACTCTTGTAATTAAAAGTATCAAATAAAGCACCTTTTTTTCTACAATTACCATTAAAATTATCCTCTATATTCAATATATTCAACAAATCTTTAGTGACGTACGTTTCTTTTATTACAGCCATTTCATTTTGTAACATTATAATATCTCTGAGCAATCTTGATGCGTCGATATGATCGAACATAGCCGAAGGAAGTTTCAGCAAATCCCTCGCAACATAGAGGCAGCTTGTCGGGATCAGTTTCCTTAATGAATGCAATAATGTCTTGAATATTTCTAACTTCCTTGCCATCCTTTTTTCTTTTCATCAAGCTCCTGGATAGATCGGTTACTTCGAACAGTAACTTTTTTGCCTGTGCTATTTCTTCCTCGGAGAAGGTGGTAGAAATAAGACGAACAATACTTTCTTCGTCAATTATATCGGCTTTATTTTGTATAAAAGCCAAAAGTTCCGACATAACTATATTGCAATTTACACATTTCACGGCATTGGATGCCATTTTTGTTAAAGATTTAATTAACTACATTAATTTAGAAGCCAAGGAGATAACGGCCTATAGTTTAACGGTTTAAGGCATTAAACCTGACTTTCTTATGAGTGCAGGAGTAGAGAAAGAGATGTCTTAAAACCGGTACTGAGTGCGTACCCTGGACCACAGACATTTTTATTTAGTTTCTCAGGGTCCACTCGAATAGTGTGCGACTTACCTTTCCTTCTCATCAGTTGTTCTTTATTTTGTTCACCTCGTCTCAGAATGGGCTAAGGTCACCCTTTTCTTACGACATCCACAGGACGAAATGGTCTGATAGATTTCATTCTGGCGGTGAATGAACATTCATATGATTAATGCTAATTTTGTCATTATTAATAATTGCTAAAGCTAATTTATTTTCCAAACTAAATATTTTAAAAAATAAAATAAAAATACAATTTTTAGAAATACTTAACAATTCTTTAATAGATTACATAATAATTTACATATGTGACATGTTGCAAGAATCTTTTAGGGATCACTAGTTAATGCAAATCTGCTTATGGCACTATCTAATACGAAAAATCATCATTAGTTATAAAATTTATAGTTCTTAGCAGATTCTAATCACTATTAGGTACATTAAAATAGATCATTTATAGACAATAAAAGATTTTTAACTACCTACCTAGTAATTTGAATATTTAGTGGTTTTCATTTTTAGGGCTATTGAAAATAATAGTAAGTTAAAAAATTGCTTAGCCTAAAGGAAACTTAACTTACTGATAATTATTTCCGTGGGGTTTACATATTCCTACTTTTATTACTGATTAATAATTGAGGATATTAGATAAATGCACAAGAGTAAAGTTATTTTATTTATAAACTTTTGAACCCATATTTTCAAGAACAATCATTGCACCAGAAACAAGATATGATTCTGCTTGTAAATTTTTAAGACTTATGACGAGGTTCCTTCTATCAATTTTTTGTAGTTCGGTTAATTTTTGCCTAGTCTGTGAAGTCATGTATGGCAAAACTAAGCAACCAAGGCCAAGGCATTTACATCGAACACAATTTTTCCATATTTCTATTAAGTCTTCATCTTTTATTAGTGGGCATATTGGTAACAAATTTAACACATTGAGACATTTTTTCCTTTGTCGTTCTGTTATAGGATAATCTGCGCGCTGAAAGGGTGTTAACAAAACTGCTCGCCAAGCAGTGCATATATTATCATTTGGAGGATGAAACACTTTTAGTAATAATGGAATAATATCTTCATACAAGGATGCACGAAGCAGTAACGGAATTATATCGTGGATAATTTGAAAATTTCCGTATCTATATGCCAATTCTGCGGCAATTTTTAAACCTTCAATATTTCCACTAGCAACTTGGAGTAACTGGTGGATAGCAAGAATCTTATCTTGTAAGAACGTGGCAACTATCCAGGGCATATCAATCGATTCAAGATTGACTATATATAACAACTCCAAAAGTGACGACCAAAGCGAATCACGTACACGGTTGGTAACTTTGACCGCAGTGTCAGGATCTACAATGCTCATCAAACACTGAAAGGCTCTAAGTTTTTTGCATTTGTTAAAGTCACTTTCATCGTCAAAAGCAATTCGCGATAAATAAATAGCTCCCATCTTCGGGCAAGTAGCTTTTAGGATATATTTTGCGGTAATCAACTCTTTTGTATTAAGACCTGGAAAACTTCTTCTTTCTTTTTGACTTTTTTCAAGAATGTTTTCTAAAATTTGGATTCTAATGGAACTTATATTGATACCATTTTTGTCTGCTATTTCATTTGCTGCCCGATTGACATCATGACGAGCTATCTTATCTACAAAATTAGGATGAAGATACATGGCGTGTATAAGCTGTGCTGGTTCAGTAGACAGCCGAATAAATTCTTCACAAGCCCAATCTATTTTATGCAAAGCATGACGCGTAGAAAGCGTTGAATGTAAACGTTCCATCTGTCGAACAGCGCGGTTGCCTGGCTGAAGTGCAGCCCAACGTTGAGAAAACTGGAAGCACAAATGAGCTGCGGCTACTTGATCAGCTCCTCGAGCACACCCTTGTAAGACATAGAAAAGACATGCACCCGCCCATTCCATATTTGCGATATGACGTACACATCTATGAGCTGTACGAAGTAAAGGCTCTTCTCGAGAAGTCAATAGCCATGGTTCGTTTTCCTTCGAATTTACTTCAGGGCCTTCATTACGCGTTCTTGAAGTCATCGTTTGCTTCACAGCATTGCTACAAATCATATCTCTGGCAGTTTGTAAGTCATTATCAAGTGATAATATACCAGCAATAGGCAGCCAACGTTCATAAGTTTCTAAAGTTATCTCAGATTTTAAATGAGTCCACATATCATCGCGCATGAAAAGGTGAAAAGGTAGACGATAATACCCAATTTCCGGAAACATGCCCTTTACTGAGAATAATTCAAACTCGTATTGTTTGGGCGTACTTTTTCTCTTGTATTCTTTTAAAAAATTTAAAAGGTAATATTGCTTAATATTGCGAGAGTCTGTAGTTGCTTTAAATATGAGATGATATATACAAAAATATAATTCATAATAGTATGGATTAATTGAGACCACACAACCGTGCAATATCACTTCGCCGTTTTTCCAGAAGTCATTTAATACATCCCGAAGAAAATCCCTATTTTGAATACTTTCCCAGATTATAAAGCATTTAGAAATAATTTCCTTTTCATCATTCAGCAATTTCAGTTCAGGACAACCAAGATCATCATCTACTAATTTATACTTTATATCCCAATTAGTTAAGAGTGATATAAGTAACAAAGATAAGCCATCATCGGAAGATACGTTCAAAGTTCGGCATAAATCAAAGAGACGATCTAACTCGATGTTAGAATACTGCCTCAAGACATGGAAAAGCACAACTTTCGCATCCCATGTCACTTCAGTACTATCTGGTAAAGCAACTTCTGACAAATCAATATTGAATTTAGACTTCAAAATATATTGAGGAGGATAAGTTATTATGTTTCCTGGTAAAATACCGTCTAGTCCAAATATGAGACGTGTCACTGAAGCTGATAAATAATATATAACTGAAGGCGCAAAAGAGTCAGACTGACCACGTAGTGTTTCTAAAACCCACATTTTGTCTTCCGTTACTTCGAAATTGGTTAAAATTATTAGTAAAATTGTTACTAGAGCATTATCTAGATTCTGTGAAGCAACTATCTTAGTAAGCATTTTTCTTGCTAATATATCTCTCAATTTTAGTAAATGTTCACAGGAACTCTTTTCCATTTCAAACACTACAGCCATATAGTATGAAATCAATCTAAATGGAATAAAATCACTTCTATTACAAATATTCGAAATTTCACATTCCAAATTGTTTTCATTTGTGGGTAATTTACAATAGAAGCCAATTAAATCATTTAAGGCATTGACAGAGGAAATGGGTAAAAATATATAATGAAATTTCCATGCCACTGATAAATTCTTTAAAACAATATTTGTGTTTATTAAAGAATTCAAAATAGATAGTCTTTTAATTAAGTAGTGTAAATATTCTTCATTACACTTTGAAACTAATTCTGATAGTATATTATTAGATTCTATCAAGAGTTTAGAATTATTTCCATCTTTAAATGATGACAAAATTGATGTCATATTAGAATCACAAGGATCAGATAATAACATACATTCAACGAATTCGCGGACTTCTTGGCTCGTTGAAGTTTGACGTAACTGAACTAACAAAGCAGAATTCCTCGACAGATGTTTATTTACCAAATGAGTTATACACCTACCACGTCCTGAGCTTGCTAGAGCACCATCACTTTGAATCCATGTATTCAATTTGTTTTCACAACAATTTTCTTTATATATTTCATTCATGCTTATCGTAATATCGTATGAATTTTTAAGGTGATATAAATTCTCTAAAGTTGTCATTTGCATATCATCTACAGACTGAGTACCTTTTAAGAAGTCAAGATAATTTCTTTCAAGTTTAACATTGGACTTTGCTCCATTAATGATGAGTTCAAATTTGTTAATTATAGTCTTAAGTAATTTCCTTTTTTCCTTATTTTTCAATTGCTTGAAATAGTTTAAAGCTTGCTTTGTTTCACAGTTCTGTAGACATTTATGAATATATAAAATGCTGCTAAGATTTGCATATGTTGGTAAAACACTTGTGATAACTCCTAAATCAGTAAGATCAATAAGTGGAGAATCAATTATTTTATGAAGCACTAAATTGTAATCAGTACATGTTAAAGGAAAGTTATATTTTTTTAATACAACCTTAAGTTTTGCGTAGTTTAACTCTTTATGAATTTCTTGTGCCAACTGTCCATCTGCATCAGTAACTGTAAAATCTTTTTTTGCAGAAGCAGCAGCAGTAACAGCCAGGTCCACTATAGTATTATTCCATGGCACATCCAACACTTTTAACACTTGAAGGAGACATCCAAGTCTATTACTAGTTGAACGAAAAGCATTTAATAACATTTGCAAACGAATACCATCAACACTACCTCCACTCATTGCTGCTTCACTTTCTATAAATGATTGTAACATGTCGTCTAATTCGAATAAATGACGGGATGCATAACTTGGCAAGTTGTTTTGGAGAAAATCTTCCAAATCCTCTGTGTAGCAACGGCGTAACATTATTAGAGCTACTTCAGTTGGATTCTGGGAACTTAACTCACTAAGTAACATATTGATTCTATACTTCTCTTTTAACTCCATGATGTAATTAACATGATCCTTCAAAACATCTAGGTCATCTAAAGACGTTGGCCTTATTGCAATAGTTTTGATGGAATTTTCTAGCACAGAGATGACTTCCTGAATAAACTTTAAGCCTATTTTAGGCCAGTATGGTGATCGTTCTAAATCAAAAACTCTTTCAGTTGTCCATTTGACAAAGAGGTCAACATAAAATGGATTTTCTTCCAAAATAGATGGAATAAAATTGTGTAACCAAATAATAAGTGTCCCTATTTTAATATTATATGGTATAGCATTTAAAATGCTTACAATATCATTAGGTTCTATTGGCAATTTTAATTCAGAATACTTTAACCAACAGATTGAAGCTAAATCTAAATCTGATTTAGATATAAATAATATACTAAGTTGTATAAAGCTTTTCTCAAACAATTCAATGTTTTGGTATAAATTATCACCACGAAAGAGAATGTACTCTAACAGATCTATTTTAATTGCTAAATCACTGATAAGATTGATCAAATTACTATCATTTGTATTGAAAACTTTAGTTTGTAAAGGATACACAAGTGTTTTATACATAATATTAGTTTTACAAAGTTTTAAGGCTGCTTTTATGAGATAGTTACAATCTAATATGCTATTAAATAATGACTGCAACTGAGGCAATACCTGAGTAGGTTCGACATGGGATAGAGCAGTCTCAATTAACAAATTTAACTGGACCTTAAGATTATCTTGTGATGATTTGTTTGACACACTGTTGTTGGAGATTTCAGTTAGTTCATGATGAGCAGGTAGGGATGAAGCACCATAAACTTGCACCTGAAAATAAAACAGTGGCACTACCCGCATTTCATGATCTCAATTTTAGTTCCTGTTTCAAGTTATTGATTTATGATATTTTTTTTATAATTATATCCTCCAGACCGAATTTCGGTCACGGCGGCCTGCCTCAATGGAAACCAGCCATCGCCAATGACGCGAGACAGGATTATAGTGCCCAAGTGTATGCGCAAGCCCAAGTGCACTCTATATTCCCTCACTCTCATAATCCGATGGGACGGTAAGCCGACACGACCGGAGAGAGATCAGGCGCAGGACCAATGGCTTTCCGAGGCACGGGGGCCGCCAACTTCTTGACTCTAGGATACTACTGAAAATTTCTTGACGGAAAAACTCAATAATTGATTTTTTTGGCCCGTCCCGGGATTCGAACCCAAGACCTCATGATCAGCAGTTGGACTACTACAAACACTAGACCAACGAGGCAGTCTAGGGGGTTTTATAATAGTATAGTGACAAATAAGCATTGCAGAGCAGTGGCACTTGGACACCTACAACAAAATTTCAACAAAGAAGGCCACCTATATTGTCACACCTGAAGATTAGGATGAAAACCTCACAACCTCTAATTGCACTGGCTCTCTCTTACCACATAAACAGAAACACAGTAGTGGGTACACAGTTCTTTGGTGGCAGAAATAGGTAAAGGAAGGTACTGGCTTACATGACCTATATAGGAAGAAAGGGATTCTAACCACCTTGTAAAATCTGAACATATTAGACCAAAAAAATTGGTTGACCTGACTCTGCAGGCCATCCCGGGAACCGCTAATTTCAAATACAAAGCGCACCAAATTATGACGTTTAATATGAAATATAGGAGTAATTTAAAAAAATTTTCAAAAATTGTCGTTAAGGATATCTCACGGACGAATTAACTGAATTTTGACCGGACAGACGTGGTTTTTCAAGGTTAAAAGCTGATTAGTTTTTAAAATCGATCTGATTAGTTTTCGAATCGGTAAAGCCGTTTAAAAGTTAAGTTATTCCAAAAAAAAAAAACAGTTTTTCAAAATGTTTACGATTTCTAAATCACGCACGCACGCACCGCACGTCCCATAGCGGTAATGCCAAAACAGACCTACTCATCGACCACGTGCAGACTCCGTGCTACAACAGGTCCCATCCGCAGAGATCGTGATACTTGGTGATCTTAACGCCCGCCATACTGAATGGCTTTTTTTTTCGTTTAACCGATCATGCGGGTAGATCTTTATGACTTTGCTTTGGCATATAGTCTGACACAACTGGTTACCTCGCCTACGCGGATCCCAGATGTGGAAGACCATGTACCTTCCGTGTTGGAGCTTCTGCTGACTTCTCATCTGGACAAATATCAGGTCTCCGTTGATGCCCCTCTTGGCTCCTCGGACCACTGTCTAATCCGGAGTACGGTGCCACTCACGCTCTCATCGCGGTTGCGTACTGCAGGTTAGCGCTGTGTTTGGCGTTATAGGTCAGCAGATTGGGACGGAATCACGGAATGCGATCTTTTTTTGCATCCTACCCTTGGAGGCGGGTTTGCTTCTCGCCGGATGATCACAGCGTTGTTGCGGATTCTGTCGCTGATGTAGTGATACAGGGAATGGGACTTTCTATTCCATCATCTGTGGTACCTATCAGAGGCAGAGACCAGCCATGGTTTAGTCGCACCTGCATTACGCCATAAGCAAGAATACTACCAGGCCTGGGCTCCCGCATTGACGTCTCGGGATGCAAATACCAGCGCTCTAAAAAAAGAAATACAATTCTGCCTCCAGGTCCTTCAAAAGTGTCATTGTCAAGGCAAAGTCAGAGCACATCGACAGAATTGGCGAGAAACTAGTTCGTCTTCCTTCGGGAACACGTGCACATTCTGGTCTCCCGCTAAGGCTGTACAAGGGAACTTCTGTCAGCCATCTGCCCATCTCTGCACGGGGAGGCGACTCACTAGCCCATGCCGCAAAGGACAAAGCCGATCTGCTGGGCTCTCTCTTTGCGTCCCACTCGACTCTTAATCACGGGGAGAACACACTGCCGACCTTCCCACAGTGTGAGTGATCCATGCAGGATCACATGCAACAATTTGAGTGGGTCTGATGGCGTCCCTCCTATTGTGCTGAAGACGTGTGCTCCAGAGTTGGCACCGGCCTTAACGCGTCTTTTATGGTACTCCTACTCCATCGGCGTAGTCCCGAAATCATGGAAGAGAGCCCTCGTGCACCCGATCCCTAAAAAAGGTTACCACTCCGATCCGTAATACCCGCGTGGCACGGAACGCATCATAAAACAACCCTGTTGTTACATTCCAAGGCGTTTAGACGGTTCACGCAGTCTCCAACTAGCTTCGAGTTCACTCAGTTTGATCTCAGCGCTAGCAATATTGCTTGACTATCAAAGTTTATACAGATTATATCAGGGGTGGCGAACTTTTATGTATCAACGTGCCATTTTTCTAAAGAAATGTTTAATTAGGTAATTAACGTGCTGTATAAAATTTTTGACATCGTGAATATAATATTATATTGCGAAAATAATAGTAGATCGGTTATACGCGCAATTAAAATTATAGTAACATTAGTGTGACTTCTGTTGTTGATGATTAGATGATTACATAACTTATATTGGGGTACTAAAATCCTAAATATAACACAAATGAAATTTGTGATGCTAACGGGTGTCCGGTGGCAGAATTAGGATTTAAATTTCGAACTGTTTTCGAACCGTTAGCGGAGGGGCGGGCGGGGGGGTCACGTTCGATTCGTCATTCGTGCGGGTTCCTTAGTCACGATGTCGCAGTGGACGGGTGAACAACGTGCGTTCGCAATCGAAGCTTATTTTAAAGCAAACGATTCCTGTGCTATTGCTCGTCGAAGATTTTGTTCGCGGTACAATATCCGACGGTTACGTGATGCGCCAAGCGAAAATTTGATTCGATTGTGGGTGCGGAGGTTCAGAAAAACAAGTTCAGCAGCAAATAATCCGCGGCCGGGATCCAGCAGAACGTCGAGGACTGATGACAACATCGAACTTGTCGCAAACAGTTTACGCGATAACCCGCGACAGTCCGTGCGTAAGAGAGCGGCTGCTCTAGGGCTCCCAAAAACGATTGTGCACGAAATATTGAAAAAGGACCTTAAACTTCACCCCTTTAAAATTCAAATTGTGCAAGCGCTTAAGCCTAATGATTACAATTGGCGCAAAAGTTTCTGCGAAACAATGTTGCAGCGATTTCGTACAGTGAACACAATCTTTTGGAGCGATGAAGCCCATTTTCATTTAAATGGAAGTGTAAATAAACAGAACTGCCGTTATTGGTCACCTAAAGGACAGAACCCGCGATTGAAACATCAACAGCCACTTCACAGTCCCAAAGTGACGGTTTGGTGTGCATTGTCAAGCAGAGGAATAATCGGACCCTATTTTTTTGAAAATCGTCAAGGACAAGCCATTACTGTAACCGGCGTTTCTTATCGGCGAATGCTTAACGATTTTTTCCTGCCAATATTAAGAGAACATCCTGCCTACAGTTCACAGACATGGTTTCAGCAAGATGGCGCCACGCCTCACACTGCTAGAGAGACCATGGCGCTTCTTCGTGATTTGTTCCCTAACAAATTGATAAGCCGTTTTGCTGACATCCCCCTGGCCACCCAGGTCGCCGGATCTTACCCCCATGGACTTTTTTCTGTGGGGGTACCTCAAAAGTAAAGTTTATGAAACCGCCCCACCGACCATCTCAGCATTAAAAGAAAATATCGTTCGCGAGGTTAATGGCATCCCGACGTCCCTTCTCCAGCGAGTGGCGCGCAATACTGAAGCCAGATTCCAAGAGTGTGTCCGACGTGATGGTCAACATTTAGACGAAATAATTTTTTAAGAAATAAAACCCGCACTTCCCTTCTTTGTTATAGTCATTGAAATAAAAAAAAATATTTTGCAGTTTTTTTATTATTTAATTTTGAAATCCTAATTCTGCCACCGGACACCCGGTATGTGTAAACGAACTATGCATTCCTTGTGGGAGGCGTGGACTTGTGAAGAGCTGTAATGATGATGATGATGAAACGAACTATGCGTTATTAATAATAGTAGTCCACGATGTAACTAGGATCACTCGCGTTTGTTTGTAATATAATACTTCAGTACCCGGTTGACCGAGCTTTGCTCGGTATTTTTCGCTCGTTTTTTTTTAATTCGTGTGTTTTGGAAATTATATTTAGATACAAATTACATACTGATGAAATACGAATAATATTTTTTGATCTTAGCGACATAATAGAAAAAACTGAACTGGTTATTTGAATAAAAAATCATGAGTGCAATTAGTTTAATTTAAATTTTCGTGTTTTTAAAAAATACTAAAAAAGGGCTCGAAAAAGTAGATTTTCTCAAAAAAGAAAGGAACTTGAAAAAATAAATAAAAAAAGTCGGTCGGTCGGTCTGGGCTCGAACTACGACTTTATGACCGCCCAATATACCAATTAAGCTATTTGTAATCATTAATAAACTGTCAAAATTTACCTTCTTATTCTAACGATATTGTAGCAGTTTTTCATTGCCTAAAAACAAGGACAAAAAGACATTTTCTAAAAATAAATCCTAGCTAGATCGATTTATTGCCCCCGAAACTCCCTGCACACAAAATTTTATGAAAATCGTTGGAGCCGTTTCCGAGATTCCGATTATATATATATACAAGAATTGCTCGTTTAAAGGTATAGGATAGTGAACTTTGTGATCGGTAGCGTGCCTAAAATATTTTGTCGCGTGACATCGATGGCGTGCCATTGGTACACCATCCCTAGATTATATGATTGACATAAGTGTTTTAGCAGATTGATTAATGCACACTGAAGTATGACAAAAATTTCTGCCTGGAAGATAAGAGAAAATGCACGAGAAAATTAAGTCAAATTCTAGTTTGAACACCTTTGATTTTTCTGCCACGTTCGCACCATTATAGTACCTTTGACCTCGTCAATCATTCATGTCTAAGTCAAACACTTGTACAATTGCATCAAGAAAGAGGCCAGTGAGTCCTTTTTCCGTAAAGTCACTTACAGCCAGTAAGTGACTTTACGGAAAAAGGACGTAAGCAACAAAATACTCGTGCTTTGACTTCCTAATTAGCGTCAACAAAACGGAATGTTAGTGATAAGAGTGAGTGAATTGGTAATCGGTGCCCGGTGGTAGGGTTTCGGTTGGTTTCGCCCCCCTCAGCTTCAAGTCATCTATGCGCTCCGTCAATTTTTGCGTAATATCCGGCTGTGACAAACTGACATTTGTCCCAGCAAATGCCATACTGACGGTGCACACAATTCTTGGCCTGTTATTGTCCGACTTGAAGCTTGTCTGTCTGCCAATGAGGGCTCTTGCCTTTGCAATACGGTCTTCAATTCTTTTTCTTCTCCAGGCTGGCATGGCGCTATTTTGTGTTAGCACGTCCAGCCTTGGAGAGCTTGGCCCCAATAATGCGATAAACTGCTAGTGCGGCGCCAAAAAGAATTGAATCTGTCTCGCAAAGGCCCCGGCTGGCTTCCAGATAAAACACCAGCACTGAGTTTAGAGCCCTCACGACAGCCCGATTTCGCTTGCTTAGGGGTATGCGGAAAAGTCCTTTGCGTACTGCGCGACTCGAGCGATTTTCTAATCGCCTCTTCCAATATGCTCCTCATTTGCTCTCATTCCTGGGCGATTCCATCGTCGTCTGATCAACCACAAGGAGATCTACGGCGGCATCTACATGTGAATGTTGCTCTGTAATTGGTAGAGCCGCATCTTCTGTCGTAGTATTTTCATTTGACACGGGAACAGCCTCACGTTGTGGTCATTCGAGTTCGGCGTCATCAAATATTTTTGAGCGCATGATGTACCGAACTTGGTCTGCCACGTTTTGCTCAGTGACGGTTATAGAAGGCTCCAGCTCAGCAAAAAGACGATGCATCCTAGCCTGGTACTCAAAACTACCAACTTCTCCCCCTTCGCCTTAAAATACGTCCGTAATGCGTTTGAATTCATTTTCTTCGTCCAACATTTGTGGCGTACTCCACCAGAGGCGGGTGCTGTTTGCTGAGTTCGGGAAAACCTTGCCGATAGCCGATACCAAGCCATCCAGTAAGGAAGATGGATGTGAGCAGCTGCTGAGTGGTCCGCGTCTAGCACCAGCTCCAGACGCGCCGTGGCGACCTCCAGGCAGCGGCCCTATGCGCGTTTGTCTTTGTGCCATCATCCATTTTCTGGGCGCTAATTACCGGGAGACTCCCAGGCCTGACACCGTTTCGTAGTTCAGCCATATGCACAAACAAACTTTTGCAACCTCAATTTTGCCTAGGCACGGCGCTCTCGGCACGGACCTCTTGACAGGGCGCTGATTGACTGCTCCGATGTAGCAGTTTTGTCACATAACTGTTATGTTAGTGCATCAGTCATTTGTGTTATTCCATGTCAAATCAACACACTGATTCAGACTTGATGTCTCAGATTTTTACGATTTTTTTATGTAGCAATATGTCACAGACTTATGAAATATTACCAAATTTCAGTTATATAGCACAATTATTTTTGAAGTTATTAATTTTTAAAGATTTAAATTTCTATGAAACCTGGGAGTGGTCACATTTTAAAGCCGTTGAATGAGGCTTTAATATGACATGCCACAAGATAGGGTTACAATTTTTTTTTAAAAATGAAAACTTTTTTTATAGTGGCGATTTTCAAAATTTCAAAAAAGTATCAAATATAGATTATAATGACTTAATAGATACAGTAAAATTCTATCATGGGATCTCAATGGGATCAAGAGATACAGGGCTTCAGAAATACATGTTTTGTGAAACATATCAGAATTAGTATTGTTTCAAAAATTTTTGAAGAATTCATTGAATGAAACCAGCAACACACTACAATGAAACAAGCAGTGGGTATTACTTTTACATTTTTTTTTAATGCGGAAAGGTCACATAGACACTTACCAATAAAAATCCAATATTATGGGTAAAGATAAGGGTTAAAAAATTAATTAAATCGAATAAAACAAATAAATAAATTAATTAAAGAAAAATCCACCTCGGTCTTTCAATATATAAAATACATAATAAATCATTACAACAAATTAATTAATTCGAGACTTCAATTATTGAAAGATATCCACAAATTTGTTCACTTCACTGTGTGGTACACTGTATGTTTGGCAAATCTGTGTGCCGGGGTTCACTTTGCATATCACATCTGCAAAAGGAATCCACAGTGTTCGCTTCACTCTTGTGAAAGGGGATTTTCCCCCGAGGGAAAATCCCTTTTTATCTGAGTAAAAAGGGATTTAAAAGGGAATTGTAGACCAATCAGCTTCAGCTTTCTTTTAAAGAGAGGTTTTCAAATATGGTACTTTAAAGTAATCATTGCATTTTATTAATTTAATAGGGTATTTCACCCATTTTCAAAAATTGTTTTAAATGAATCCTAGAGTGGTAATGAACTACTATAATTTTTATATAATTTTTTTAAAACCGAATAGTGTCATAAAAATTACTTTTAATCTATCGTTTTAAATTTTCGCGTGAAAACGCTAGCCACCATGTTGTTTAACTCGTGACTTCACAGTCGTCGATTCTGCCCATTTTGCAAAGGAATAAGATACTTTTCAATGAGCAAATCTAAATCATTGTTATGTTGTGCCCGAATGCAAAAATACGAGCATAAGAATGCCGGGAAAGTTATGGATTCAAGTGCTAACTGATTTAAATATAAGAAATACTTAGCTAAAACTGGCAAGAAGATACCCGAATACATTGTCTACATAAACCAGACTATTCTTCTGTGAAGATAATTTCGATGTAAGTATGACTAACATTTAACTATTGTTTAATACAAAACAAACATCATGAGGTGAAGGGTATCGCAAGTCAAATTTTGTAATAAATTACGTTAACTTAGATATAATAACTAATGATTGATATTGATTATAATTATGGATAAAGTAAACTATGTTTTATCAAAATATGTTCTCACCTGGTATTGTGTTTTTGTATAAACAAAAGTTGGTAATAGATACTTACATTGATGTTTGAACATTCCTCAACTCAGCAGAACAAAAATTGAGATTGCATGCAAAAAATTTTGCCATCAATAAATTTATTTATCCTTGGTAGATAAGTACTTTCTGCTTTTACGAATTCGTCTTCCTTGATGCCTTTTCAATAAAATTTGTAATAGAACTCAATAATTGTAATAACTTGAAAATTTTTGAAATAACACATCAAATTAGCTAATTCTCTTCATCAGTGATACAGAACACTAATATCCTTAGGCTGGATCAGTGATGTCACAACATGGCTAATATGGTGGACACTGTTTTACAGATTTAAGGCACAGACGAAAAAAAAATATTCTTAAAATTGAAATATAAAATTTATAATGCAATTTTTCAAACAGAAATCAATATTTCTTGTTTACTTTTTACAAAATCTATCATAAATATATATTTTTTGATTTTATTTTATATGGTGTAAAATACCCTATAGTGTCCTGCATACCGCATAGCAAAATTTGTAATTAAAAAATAAAAATTTATTAATTTGGTATATTATATAGAAAACATGTGAATTTCTGAAGCCCCTGTATCTCTTGATTCCATTGAAATCCCTTGATAGAATTTTGATGTATGTATTATAAACATAAAAGTATTATAAACTATATTTGATAATTTTTTGATATTTTTAAAATAGCCACTTTTGAAAAAAATATTTTAAATTAAATTTTAAAAATTTCATTTTTCAAAAATGTAACCCTATCTTGTGGCATATTATATTAAAGCCTCATTCAACAGCTTTAAAATGACCCCTCCCAGGTTTATATCATTGGTTGTCAGTCTATAGGCATCCAAAGGTGCCTAAACATGAAATTTTTTCATAAAAATTTAAATCTTTAATAATTGATAAATTCGAAAATAATTGTGCTTCTTAACTGAAATTTGGTATTCTTTCATAAGTCTATGATATAAAGCTGCATAAAAAATCATGAAAATATGAGACATCAATTCCGAAAATCTCCCAAAGTTGTGTTGAATTGACATGGAATTTCCCTATACCATAATATTATTATTATTAATATTACACTCTGTCCTACATTCTCATTTCAAATAAACATTATTAAGAAAACAGGTGGGCAGTTATATAAGATTGCATATTATTCTTTTTGAGATTTAGGTAGTTTTTTAATTTATTTTGCTTCAGTTATATAGTTATAACAAGTCTTCAAAATGTAAATCATCTTTAAATTGCACTACATATATTATTTAGAAATTTCCAATTTAAAAATATCAGTCATATAACTTAACAGTATAAATTAGGTAGTTGAACAAAACAAAATATTGAAAATAATCAAGAATAATTTTTAATTTGCTCAGAATTTTAAACAAATATAGTTTCTTTAAAAAAATTCAATTATCTTACCTTTTCTTTGTCCCATAATAAGTAATAGAATGTTTTATTGACAGCTTTTAAGGGGTAATAATTAGACTCAACTTTTTGAAATTCAAATATTGTATTGAAATTTCTAAGATCTATTACCCACATTTTAGATTTATTGCCCAATATGACTGACTGACCCCATGGAACAACATACTCTAACTCAACACTTGCAGATAACATCTCTGATAAGCCTGTAATACTACATTCTAAAATGATTTTACCCGTTTCAATATATGCATTAAAACCATTCAAATCAATTTTTGTATGCTGAGATATTACAACAGATCGGCTAATGTTCAGCTTTTCAAGCGAAATTGTAATCTCTTTTTCACCCTCCTTTATTTTACTGTCTAATTCTACAGCTGTAAAAGGGATAGCCAGACATTCCCCACTTTCGCTCATTAGTAATATATTATTTTCCACTTTTCCAAACTGTTTAATTCTGTAGTAAGCATAATTATTACACTTGATTTTGATTAATTTGCACATATGAACGTTGATAGCTACAAGCTCATAGGATTTCAGAGTAAGCCAAAGAATATGGTCCTGTAGAATATCATCAACAAAATCATATTCCAAATCGAATGAAATAATTTCCTCTTCGTTACTTTTGTTCTCAATATCCACAATTATCACTTTCCTTGTCTCTTCTAAAATCACTAATTTAGGATACAAGAAATGGGCTTTTATGCTAGTGTTCAACGATTTCGATAATGCAGCAGTCTTTACATGAGTAGACTGTATAACATTTACTGACGACATGATGCTTAAGTGATGATTAAGTTTCCATAGGTTATTTTTAATTAAACTAATTACAAGTTACAAACTTACAAAGCAAAGTTAAAAAACAATGATTTGAAAAATCCGTTTTAGATTTAAAAATTCAAAGGTGACATATGAGAACTCTATTTTTTTAGCTGCCTTTATGGCTCTAGGTTCTTGCTCTTCTGAGCGTTCTATATGACAAGTCCGTCATCCATCCATCCAATCATGGAGTATAGAGGTAAGGAGGACAATCTCCCATGGGAGAATAGTTGAAAAAGTGTCCATTTGTAAGCATTAAATAACAGTTCAAAAACTCTCCACAACAGCGCTCGAGTAGCTACAGGGTATGATAAATCACCGTAAAATACGTTGAGAGAGATTTTGAAAATAAAAATTTTGAAAGCAATAAAATAATTGTAAAAAGAATTATAGTGAGAGTCGTTAAAACTATCGTTAAAACTTGTATTTTCTTACGTGGTAGAGCCATGCTGCAGTTATATTAATAGTAGAATTGTAGCACGAATGGGTTGGCTCGACCGGGGAAGGACCACGCTCTCACAGAATACCAGCGTGAAATAGTAGCTTAATGCTGCTGTATTTCGTATGGTGAGTGTAGAGAGCCGGAGACCCTTTTTACTGGAAACGAGGCATTCCATCTCAGTCCTCACGGGTGACGACGCATCTGCATTTTGATTTGTAATGGAGGATAGATGTAGATGTCCATGGGCCGCAGCGACCACTTACCATCAGGTGGACTGTGTGCTCGTTTGTCACCCTAATCTATATAAAAAAAAAGAATATATTCGTAAAATACCGAGTGCTGCCAGCATAGTTTATGAAGAGAAAAATTAGCGATTTTAAAATTAAACACTCACGCCTATCACCCAGAGGGGTAGGCAGAGACTACGGACTTCCATTTGACACGATCCTGACATAAAAAAATAATTATACAAAAAAAATTATATTAACGAAAATTTATTTCATATCAACTAAATCCGTTTATGATGAATAATAATCATTACATTAAGACATGTCAAATGATATAAATATTCAGCTCAATCCCAACACTATTCTGAATACATTATAATTTAATATAAACGATAATCTTTATCAAAATATTATACAAAATAAACGCCAAATAAGTCGAATCGAAACTTGCCACTTTGTACCAAATGTATGCAATTTTGAACAAAGAGAAAGATTGGCCGGTTCCAAAAGACAAGACGCAGGTTAGAGCATTTTTGGGTTTGTGCTCCTATTATATGCGATTTGTGAAGAACTTTGCAGATATAGCCAAACCTCTCGACAAGCTAACCGAGGAGAAGCGACATTTCTTCTGGGATGAAAGTTGCAATATCGCATTCCAGGAGCTCAAGGACCGTCTGTGCAAAACACCTATTTTGGGATACCCTGATGCAAGCAAAGAATTTATAGTTGACACAGACGCAAGTGATATAGGACTTGGCGGTGTGTTGTCTCAACGAAATGGTGACCAAGAGGTCGCGATAGCGTACTTCAGCAAGTCGTTGCCAAAATCGGAAAGGAACTATTGTGTCACAAGACGCGAATTGCTAGCTGTGGTAAAGTCGTTGCAGCATTTTGGCAAATATCTTCTAGGGCGAAAATCTCACTTACGAACTGACCATGCTGCACTAAAATGGCTATTGCAGTTTAAAAATCCAGAAACGCAAGTTGCGAGGTGGATTGAATTACTGCAGGAATACGACTTTGAGATCGAACATCGCAGCGGGAAATCTCATGGCAGCGCAGATGCATTGTCAAGAAGACCTTGTCCTGAAGATTGCAAACATTGTACTAGGCAAGAGAGTAAGGAAGTGGTATCCGTGAGGATGCTTAAAACAGACCACCTTAGCAACGAGTGGAAGGACAGCTTACAACATGCACGGCAGGAAGATCCGGACATCAAGCTGATTCTGGAATGGATGAAGGCCAGTGCCCCCAAGCCCAAGTGGAGCGACGTCTCAGCGATGAGCTCGACCACTAAAAGCTATTGGGCCCAATGGGACAGCTTGCTGCTTCAGGATGGAGTTCTGTGCCGTAAATGGGAAAATGTTCGGGGAGACAGCTGTCATTTGCAAATGGTCGTCCCTAAAGCTAGAGTACCGGATGTTCTACAGCTGTACCATAATGATTGTTCAGGAGGCCATCTGGGAGTTAAACAAACTCTACTGAAGGTCCGAGAACGGTTTTACTGGGTCCACTGTCGAAACGACGTCGAGGACTAGTGTCACAAATGTACAAGTTGTGCGGCTGTAAAGGGACCTCAGACTCGTAGTAGAGGTGCATTGAAGTTGTAAAATGTTGGTGCACCATGGGAGAGAATATCCATTGACGTGGCGGGCCCGTTTCCGGAGAGTGAAAGCGGTAACAAGTATTTCATGGTTGTGATGTATTACTTCACTAAGTGGCCAGTAGTCTTCGCCATTCCAAATCAAGAAGCTTCAACAGTTGCAGATAAACTAGTTCATGAAGTCTTCTGTCGTTTTGGAGTACCTTTAGAGATTCACAGCGATCAAGGAAGGAATTTTGAGTCTCAAATATTCCAGGAAACTTGCCGAGTTATGGGTACTCATAAAACAAGAACGACTTCTTATCACCCGCAATCTGATGGAATAGTGGAACGATTTAATCAGACATTGGAGAGGTACCTAGCAAAAGTTGTAGACAATCGGCAACGAGATTGGGACAAGCACATACAACCGTTTTTGTTGTCATATCGAAGCGCTGTTCACGAAAGTACATCAGTGACACCAGCTTTCGCAAACTTTGGGAGAGAATTACGGCTGCCTGCGGACCTGATCACCGGGATTCCACCTGATGCTCCACGCAGTATAACCGATTATGCAAATGACTTGCGGAACAAAGTGAATGACATTTATGAGCACGTCAGACAATCGGGCCAGCAAATGTCTGAAAAGATGAAAACCCGGTACGACCGCAAAATGAACAACAAAGGGTTCGACGAAGGTTCACTAGTGTGGTTGCACAATCCAGTCCGCAGCAAAGGGAAATCTCCTAAGCTTCAAGCTAAATGGGACGGCCCGTACCGGATTGTGACCAGGATCAACGATGTAACCTACCGGATACAGAAAGGTGCAAGAGGAACTCCTAAGATCGTCCATGTGGATCGCCTGGCGCGTTATTATGGGGCCGATAATGCTCGGGACGAGCAAGTCTTAGGAGGGGGCAGTGTTGCGCGGCTAAGTTGACATCTGGCATTAGCGCCATCTAGAGTCGGGTAACAGAGCGAGGAGAGAGCTTTCCAGAAAATGACATCACTAATCTTTCAACCGACAGCGCCATCTGTTGTCAAAACGAAGAAATAAGTTAATAGAAGCTGAGACTCGAACTTTCGGCGCTTTGTCGATTGGTGCGCGTATTTACTTGAATGTTTTGGATGTTTCGGTACTAATGTGTATTTATAGGCGCTGCAAGGTGCGATCGGGGAAGTATTGAATTTGGCGAGACAAGCGAAGCTTCGGAGCGGAATAAAGTGAATCATTGTGATTAATTGTTAGTGTTTTAAGTTTTAATTGGTGTAAATAAAATTAAAGTGTTAATTTAGGTAATTATATCGGCAATTTTTATTGTCACGAACCTCAAGCTCGTAACAATATTATCTATGCAAGTGACGCTACAGATTCTTGTCGGTTTGTCAATTTCCAATTCTAAATTATAACTATTCATTAACTGTGTAAACTGTAAAGAATACTTATTTGTTTTTATTATGTCAATATTAAAGTCGCCACAAATTATTACCTTTTTATTTATTTATTTATTCTTTTTTTGTACACCACAATACAGAAACATCAATATAGTTAAAACTAATTAAAGTATGTACAATAGGCGGTCTTATCACTGAAATTGATTTCTTCCAGACAACCTTTGCGTAAAGGAATGTTGCAGACAGAAGTTACAAATAGAGGGGGGCATACAAAATAATAGTAATAATAATAAAAATACAATAATACATACAAATAAAAATAAGTGAAAGTTATAAATAAAATATCATATAATAGATTAAATGAAAAGAGTACGAGAAAGGTATAGTAATTTATCTAATAGCGTTCTAAATAATACGATTTAACAAGAATTTTGAAAGAGTGAAGAGATTTAGCACGACGAATATGGAGAGGTAAGGAGTTCCACAATCGCACAGCGGTTACGGTGAAGGATTTCTTGAAAAAGGAAGAAGAGTGCAAAGGTGTAGAGAGAGAAAGATTGACGGAGGATCGAAGGAACCGATTATGGGTAAGAGAAAGATACTGGAAACGGTTTTTTAAATAAAGAGGAGTAGAAGGATTAAACAGCACACTATACAACGCGGAGAGAATGTGAGTATTCCTGCGAAGGCGGATCGGGAGCCATTTGAGCTGTTTGCGAAATTCGGAGATATGATCATATTTGCGAAGCCCAAATATAAATCTAATGCATAAATTTTGAATGCGCTCAAGCTTATTAAGCTGCTCCTCGGTAATGTCAAGGTAGCAAATATCAGCATAGTCAAGGATAGGCAGAAGTAGAAACTGGGCGAGCGTAACTTTAGTTGCTGTGGGAAGAAAATTACGTAATCTACGTAAAGAGCTTAACGCAGCAAACATTTTTCTACTGACCTCATTAACCTGTGAGGTCCAAGACATACAGGAGTCAAGATACAACCCCAGGTTTTTAACCTTGTTACTGTAAGGGATTAGAGTGCAGTCAAGTATAATAAGGGTGAAAAGGAACCAAATGGTTTGTAAACGTTCAACTAAGAAACAGAAGGGGGAATCGAGGCTTCTCTCGATCCGGCCTCCTATAATTTTTTTGATGCTTAAAATAGTTGGGTTCGGGAACAACGTATGTGATCTCCGCAACGGAGTAACACACAAGGGCGACAACCTCTTCCTTTTCAGCAAATAGGTTCAGGCGGGGATTACGGGTCTTCCGAAGTCGTCCCGGTCCCAACGCCT